ACTAACAATATCATCATTTAAACTGTGATATACAGTAAATTAAAGGATGCATTGAGCTTGACTGCTAGGGAAGTAAACATCTACCTCAATTTTTGAAGACGCGTCATTTTAACACATTTATCTGCAGCAGTCACAAAGGCCTACTCAATCACATGCTGCCTGTCTTATGTGTGCAAGCCCAACATGCAGGCACACTTCCCTTCGTTTTCCAGTAGCTTAATATTATGAATCAATTGCTTACAAAACCACATTGCAAGAGTTCTCTTTCATAAACACTGCATATGTGAAGTATTTCCTAAGCTGGTAAGTTTCTAAAATTGCAAAAAAGGGGAAAATCAGCATTTTAAACCAGCGTTTGATATTCTTGGTAATATAACGCCATTTCAATATGTATAGTTCCTAATCTAGAGTTAAAAACACAATTAAAACATTCTTTTTTTTTTGCACAAGTGTTATCTTCAAACTGTGCAAGGGAGTTTTTTGGAAATGCTATGACTATATAGGTAGTACAAGGGTATAAGAGAAACAGAGATATGAACAGAGGAATATACCAATTTTATTATTGTTATTTTCTAGATGGTAATATTTACGAAGTTATGCTTATCACTCATATATCCAAATAAATATGGTAGAATGATAATACTAAGTGCCTTTATTCCTCTTGTTCTTTTCAAAGCATTATTAGAACACCTTGGAGATCAGTCTCTGACATCAACAATGCATTAATGAAATTGGGAAGGTTATGAATAGTATTCATCTTCTCATAGAAGAGAAAGTAAAAGTGATTCATCAGTATTTTTTACTTCAATTACCACATTAATGTCTTTCCTTTTTAGAACTTTATTGTTTCACTCACTTAATGTTCATTTCAACCTGTAGGCACCAAGGTTATGTTAAGACTGGGCTACAATTCCAGAACCCCAGTGTTTTCACTCAACTCAAAATCTGGCAAAGAAGGAGAGAAAATGTAAGTGGAAGAATCACAAGGCAAGTCTGTTAAGTGCTAGAACAAAATTGCAGTATCTGCAAAGGGCTTCAGGATTCAGCAAAAGATGGGGAAATCTTCAGGGTCTGTTTCCTCAAGGAAAGATGGATACACTATAGCTTCTGCTCAAGAAGGTTCGATGACAGCTATAATTAACAAGATCCAAGGAGTATAAGAAGGAAGGTGAAATGTAGGTCAAAAAGTAATGTAACGGCAAATAAGACAAGAGAAGAATTCAGGTGCCAGGGATGAAAATCCTTCAAGACTATAAATATGGGCAAACACACACATGAGCTAGTCTAGAGTTTACCTAGTCACACAGTGACTCTTCCCTTGGGGGCTGGAATATTCAGGATTAGCATAGCCAGTCCAGAAAGACAAATGGGTGTGTGTGTGCAGATTTCCTGGAATCTATACAGGGATCCTGACTTCCCTCCACATAAGTAGAGCCATTGATGGCAGTAGCAAACAAAGATTCCTTTAAGACTTCTTATATGACTTGGACATTCCGGTGTGGAATTCTTCTATCCAAACTGTTTTAATATTGCCATTTTTGATGAAGAACTGACCTAAGATCTCATGCCAATGTGTCCATCCTAACTACGGAGTCCAAAGTCATCTTCAGCAATAAAGCATAATAAAGCATATTACTGAAAATGTCAAAATGATTTTGAGAATAGCTGTTGGTTTGTCCCCAGAATTCCATCCAAAAATCATGTGAATCCCAATGTCGTGTGTGTGTGTGTGTGTGTGTGTGTGTGTGTGTATGTGTATGTGTTTTATAGTTTTAGAAACAAATACAGTCTAAACTGTCAAATTTTTAAAAATTAGTTACATAATTTCAAAAAAGAAAGTGAACTACATCTTTCTGTAAGCAGATGTCACCCACAAATATGTCAAATGCAACTTTAAATTAGAATGTTCTTAAATGTACTCAGATGAGATGTTCAATGAAGCACCAGTGCAGGAAATTTGCTGTGTCGTTGTTTGTAATTGTTAGTATCACAAGAAAGGGTAATCATTTCTACATGTTGGAGAATAGCTTTTATTAAAAAAAAAAAAATCTCTTGTTGCAGACATCCCCTGGAGAGAGCCTATGCTTTGCTCAGTGCTATCTCCATTCTTATAACCAAATTGGGAACATTCACAATCGTCATTGTCATACTTTTGTCATGAACATCAATCAGTACCATGCATAACAATCTGGAGTTGGTCTACCAAGCATAGAGAATCCCCTGACAAATTTGTGCCACTTCTACGATGCAATCAAGGTAGATCTGCTGAAGGCTGACTTTAGTCACTAGGTACACAATGAATGAACTGTAAGTTCAAAACTGTTCTTGGGATAATGTGTTAATTCTCTTAACACCTTCATCAGAGTTGAGTGTTTTCTTCCATAGAAATTATGATCATCAAATAATATAAATTTAGGTGAAAATTTAAGAACCTCATATTATAAACTAGAGCTACAAGTTACTGAATAAAATGAAGAAGCCTTGAATTAAATATGAGCAGCAATTCAGTATTTAATTACTAACCTCAATCTCTGGGTGCAGTTATGTGGTTTACTTGAGATAATATTAAATAAATCATTCTTAGTATACTACTTTATGCTACTTATATAAAATATTTAAGAGTTGATAAACTTTGCATAAATGGAACAAAATTAAGAGTCTAAGTTTTCACTTTATTTTTCTGCAATGCATCCTAAACAAAAAGGCCTTCTTTGAAAGAGATAAGGAACATACATATTTTAAGGAATTTCTTATAAATTCATCAACTACAATGTGTCAGGGGGAAGTACTTATCCTCACCCTCATAACTTCGGGCACCTAGACCATGAAAAAGGATAAATTTAAACTACAAAGAATATAGCTGTGCAATTTTATTGATACATCATAAAAAATTTCCCTATTATATAAACTTGGCAACTTGACTCCATGAACATTATAAAATTCCAAGATAAGCATGCGTTTGCCTATTCAAGTATTTCCTTCTCATTTTTACACGTGATTAGCAACAAGAAATTATGGATTTCACACATGCTTTATAATACAATGCCTACAACCCACTCATCTGCAAATCAAATGTGCCTCTCATGTAGCTTCTACACATCCCGGCACTGTCTTCACCCACCTCTCATGCCTGCCACCAACAACGTCCCTGAAAATCACCAATAAGGAGCTCACAACTTTTCCCTTGCCACTTTCATTTGAAACCAGGCTGCAAAACTAGATTAATTCTCTGCTTTCAATCCGATTGGGATAAAGTTGATTATCAAATCGGAAGAGCGGAAGAAATACATTTATAATTCCCATTTAAACAGCAAGAAGACACACAGAGCTGTTTCTGATGTTCGCTGTTTTCTTGGTGAGCTTGTGGCATCACATTTCTGTGTGTACTGTAGTTCTTATTCTAGGGGACACTAATTAGTTTTAAATGGTGCTAAATACCATCCCTGCAGTTGTAAGTGCTTCTCTGGGATTTTTTTTACTAGAGAAAAGAACTCCTGTAATTTAAAACTACTTTGTTTTGTTCAGTCACAGCTGTTAGGGAAACACTGACCTGTGGAAATCTGTAAAGGTTTCCACCCCTTCTCCTTGCCATTAGCCTGTACTTATTTTCTAACATGGCATTTTTTTTTTTTTGCCTTGTGCCATTGCTTTTTCATATTTCCCATCCCCCAAATTGCAGCCATCAGAGAAACAGCATTAAGCTGTCGAGGCTCCTCTACCCCTCCCCTTCCCCCTTGCTGGCTCCACTTTCCTACAAAGCCTTGGCTACCATTAAAGAAAATTCTCCAACAACGTGTCAATTTTATATTGGCCACAAAGACAACTTCTGTTGGGGGAGGGAGAGGAAAGAGGGACTGGAGCTTGGCTGTCCCTTTCCACAGACTGGGATCTTTGTGGCAATCAGAAAACATTTCCTGCATAAGAAATCAACACACTCACTGGCTGCAGGGCTGGGGAACAAGAAAGAATATGTACTGGGCTCTGGCCTCTGACGAATGAAGCATAGCCACTAACCTTCCAAGCAAAAGTCTTTTTCTCCAGATATGCCATGCTTCCTTACACTGCTAAAAAAGAATCCACAGTTTCAAATCTTCTGCTAACTTCCCTGCTGAGGATGGGGAAAAGCTACAAGTCACTCTAATGTTTGGGATTCTTCCTCTGCATTTCCATTGCACTGTATTGTTCTGTTGTTCCCACTTAGCTCATTTCTGAGCCTCTCTCTCTCTCTCTCTCTCTCTCTCTCTCTCTCTCTCTCTCTCTCTCTCTCTCTCTCTCCCCATATATCAACAAAGGACCAAGAAAGTATTTGACAAGAGAAAAGAAGCAACTCTGGTAGTTTAGAATGGATCTGCATGTGCCGGTGATTTCAGAGGCAGAGACCCAGGGAGCTGTGGCTTCCAATGTCTTTCTCCTGACTGGCCAAAGACAAGGCACAGGGATTCATCGTGCAAAATACTCCACACAAAAATAGGGACCTGGTCTCTTGACTCCAGAGACAGGCAGTCTCCTATACCACATAGGCTTTCCGGTGAGTGTTTCCTTGAGTCACAGGGAGAGGGGAGAGGACAAGAAGCAGGTGGAAGGAAGGAAGGGGACCCTTGCTGGACTTGATCAGAAAGAAGGCAGTCGGCATATGCATTTCACATTAGGAGCATGTGTAGATATCCTAGGCTTCAGCCTGAATAAAAGCACACCTTTTCCTCCTTACCAACCCCCAACCCAACTGCTTTCTCATTTCTGTATCTCTCTTCTCCTGAACATTCTCCCCATACTTCAGAGCACATTGCAAAGCTGCCCATCCCCTCTGCTTGTCTCTAACGCCATGAAGGCTAAAGCTAGCCTAAGAGCCCTTCAACATCGAAGACCGCAAATCAAATCACTTCAAAGTTGACAGAATAAAGGAGCAGCTACTAGGCTTAAGTAATGACCAGCAAGGGTTACTACCATGCAAAATCCCCACACCCCCCAGCACCCCTTTCCCCCTTTCTCTGGGTACTTACCTTCTTTGGGTGGTCTTTTGGCCTCCCTGGTCAGATTGCAGACTTGAGTAGTTTGCAGCTCCTGAGTCAGGCAACCCTCTGTCTGCTCATTCAGGGGTAACACGACGTTATTCAACAAAACCAGTGACTGGTCATCAATCCCCCACTCTCCCAAATGCTGAGGGCAGGTGCACTTTGTATACATGATTCCACAAGACTCTGTTCTCCCATTTTCTGATTTTAAGCAACTCTCCAACCAAGTGCATAAGACATGGCAACCAAACTGGCTTGGGCTCACCTTGTTCAGTACCAAAAACTCAAAAAAAGATTTCTGTTCTTCTTCACCCTTTTTCTGTAATCCCGGAAAATCAGTTGGAAATACCCGACGTATCTGAATAAAATTTTTATCATACTGTAGAAAAACAAAAGCATTCTTGGAACTGCAGAGTTGCATTATAGAATGGTTCTTTCTCAAAAGATCCTTTATTTTTTCATGGGAAAAATGATCAAACTGATAAGCCAGAAGAGAAAAGTTAGAGCAGCTAAGGTCCTTTTTGGAAAATTTCAGGTAAATGCTATATTTGGTTGGATCTGGATTTTCCAGTGTCCAAGTGCAGTTTGTAAAGTTTTTGGGAAACATTTCACTTACAGAATAGGATCCATAAATGACTCCCTTCACCAAAGTTGAACACCAGAAGTCTTGGGCAGCATTAAATCCAAACATAACCAGGAGATAGGTGGAAAATATATAAATCAGCAGGTTACGAACAGCCTTCATCCTATGTCATTTGGCCTGTAAGAATGGCAGCGGAAGTGAAAAGCAAGCAGAAGACCACAGGCATTGATAAAACAAAACCCCTCCAATATTGCAGCCAGCTGTTTCCAAGATTTCTGTAAAAAGCCCTTTTTAAAAGAAGGGCAGGTGATTTTTATTTTATAACGCCAGGAAATTATCAGTTGCTGTGTGAACAGCGCCCTCACGTGGTTGCTGGTGATGGACCCATTCTCAACATTCAATTTAAAAATAACATTTAATAGATTATTAATAGTTATGTCCTAATTCCTCCACCAGGATTTCCTGCGTGCCCATTATCATTCTATCAAGTGAAACAGGAGAACAGGTTTGTTTTTTTCTTTTGAGTAACCTCCATGTCAATTGCTGAGAGACTGACCCACGCCACCCAACCTTTCCTCTCTCTCCCTCGGTCTTCTGCCTGCAGTAAACACCATCACACAGAATCTAATCTGATAATCTGGAAGCAGCTGTCCTCACATTATTCCTTTTCTCTTAAATGTAAAAAGTAATCATGATAAATTATGACCACAGCTTCAGAAGAGCAAATGATCATTTGTTCCAGATGGAGCATCTTTCTCCCAAATGCCCCTACTTGCCTTTGCAGGGGCCACCATGTGAACTGATGAGGAAATTCCTGGGCAAAAAAAAAAAAAAAAAAAAAAAAAAAAAAAAAAAAAAAAAAAAGCCATGGGCACTCATGTGGATTCAGAGGATTTTAAACCCAGCATCTGGGAAAAGGCATAGATGGGCAGTTACACAGGAAAGTCTTGATGCTCAGCATCACCACTGAGTACAAGATCTGAGGCAGTCATTTCATATGACATGCCCTCCTGGGATGCATAAAGTGGATTACTGTATTAGTATCTATCTCCAAAGGCGATGTGTATGGGGGGGGGGGGAATCCCAGAACTGCAGTAACTGAGCTTGTTTCAGTCTTTAAGTTCTCTTATTAAATTGTGCTTGTTTTATCTAGCATTATCTCTTGTAAATTGGGGTTTACTCACGGTAGATGGAAAATCAGCATCTTTCCCCCCTAGTTGATTTCAATGACTGGATTTCTGACTTTCGAACTACGGCTGCAGAGCTTTTCTTTTTCACTTAATTCTTACCCACAACCAAGGCATCCTTCTGTATATGTACCTTTATAATTTGAATGTTTTTTAGCTTTAACCTTTAAGAAGTTATTTTTCAGAATAAATGACAGTGCTTTTTTGTTGTTGTTGTTGTTCAGCCTTTGAGCTGATAAAAGTGATGTCAAGTTCATTTTTAAAGGCTTTAGGCTGAAGTCTCCTCCTCCACCATTCTCTGAGCAGAGATATTCAGACAAACATACAGACAGTTAAGAGTTTGCATGCCTTCGCTGTCTGGTCCTCTTTGAACCAAAGCAGAAATCCTTCCTTGCCATTGCATAACACACCAACATATGCACTCCCAATCCAGTGACCAAAGTCCCTGAACAGACCTGCATTTCACAGATTAGAATTCAAATACTATGTCTTGACAGAGGCCAAACAGCCCCAACTGTAAATCTCTATATAGCAGCAGTTTAAAATAACAGCAGAGCTGATAGGACTACCAGAACAGCGTTTTCTCTTTCAAACACACAGCTCAATGAGTAATGCCTTTTCCAGTTGAAAAAATAAAAAAATAAAAAGCAATGATCTTTTAGAGATTAAAACGTGTGCTTTTGAAAAAATCTGGAAACAATCTCATCTGTGTGTGTGTGTGTGTGTGTGTGTGTGTGTGTGTGTGTGCTGTAGCACTTTGCAGGCAATGCAGGTCTGCGCAGTGTTCTTCAGGATAGAGTGTAGGCGTTGAAAACCAATGTGACAGTAAGTGTCTAAATTAGGAATCCCAACCATGAAAGGGGGCTTCATCTTATAATCAGGAACTCAAAAGGAGGTCGTATTTCTTTTCCTTATAAAATCGATACTTCTGCCTCCATTTATTTGACAATGAAGGTCTGCAATACTGAGCTTATCGGTGATTTTAGAAAGAGTGGGGGACAGCTGCTTGGACTTCTCTCTTGAGCAGGCACCCTTCATGCAATGCTCTTTATTTTTAATTAGTCTTGGTATACGGAATCTTGATTCTGTTTCTAAATAATACTAAATATGAATCACTGAACTGTCCCCCACCCCCACTGCAGGGCCTGTTCAAACAACTGTATATCTAAGGAAAATAATGGGCCAGGGATCAGCTAAGGGATGGTTACCGAGATCTCCAGGATGTAGTATTTATTTATTTATTTGGCTATTGCTGAGAGAGGTAAACCAGCACTGAGTTTAGCTATTCTCAAAACTGGTCTTCTGGGTGACACTTTAGTTTAGCTGAACATAGACGGCGCCATCACTCCACTGTTTTTTTTTTTTTTTCTCCCAATAGAAGACCTAATCCTACTCTATCCTAACTTCCTTTTAACCTACCCCCCTCCACCTCTAAAATTATCTCAATCACGCACGAGTTGCTTGATTTTCTGGGTCTCTCTCCCTATTCCTTTCCATCTAGCTCACCTCTTCAAAACCAGACTTCTCTTAACTTTTCAACTGCGGCGTTTAAGTAAGCTCAGAATCTCTCCATCCACCAGCAACAGCCTTGACTTCCCTCTGCCCAAAAACTGAGCCCGAGCCTCTCCAGGGCGACCCTAGAAGACAGAGGTGACCCAGAGGCCCCTTTCCTTACCTTCCACTCCGAAAGCTCCGGGAGGCTTTTGGTCTAAGACACCAGCACAGGCACACGTCCCAACAACAGTGACGGAGAGACTCCCCTTCGGTCCCAATCACCGTTGCCCATTTTTCCCCCCGGCTCAGCTTCAAATATCAGGATTTATTATTGGGGGAAAAATGCACGCATACGAGAAGCAAAAAAAAAGGGGGGGGATATGAATAATAAAAGGGGGTACCCAGTGGCCAGAGCCTTGCGCCTTATCCAAGTGAATGAAGCCACCAAAGGAGAGGCGGGGAGAGGCCCCCTGAAGGGAGACTCGCCAGAAACAACAAACAAACAACAACAAAAAAGCAAAAAAAAAAAAAAAAAAAAAAAAAAAAAAAAAAAAAAAAAAATGGAAGTGGATTAAGAGCGCAGATGTGTTTTCCCAAACCCACCACCCCCCAACAAACGGATTGGCCGAGAAGGCAAAAAAGCGCTGAGAAGTGGCCGGCGGCGGGGGCTGAGGCGGCGGGTTGGGCGGCGGGCTGGTGACAGGAGTGCTCC